CCATGAACCAAGAAAGGGAATAGTAGATCTTTCCCACTTTTTTCTCTGCCTTGACAGGTATAAATAGGAGCCTGAATACTCCTTTATAATCTGGAGAAAAAATGTCAAGGATCTCTAGCAACAGTTATCTGGAAAAGATTTTAAATTAATGGTTAAAATTAGCTCAGAAATATCAATTAATTGAAGTTTTTTTCCTTACGAAAAATACACTTAGCACAAATAGAGAATAGCAAAGAATATATGTCATAATTTTATGTACATATACATATAAACATACATATGGGGGGGATTAGTTATTCCAAAGCTTGAGATTCTAAGGCATATTCTGAATCTCCTCTTCAGAAAGCATGTGATGAAGACTATATGTAGGTGTTTTTATATAATGTTAATTGAAAAAAAAAGTGAAATAAAGACAGTTATTACTGTCTAGGTATGCTCTTAGATGCATCCTGGAAAATATGTACAGTGTTATTTAAAACTCTTTTAAAAAGTCATATTAATCTTTGCAATCACAAATGTTATATAAATTAACTTACTTATTCATATTATGGGAGCAAATTAGACCACCTTTCCAAACTAATCTTAAATACACATTACTGAATGATGAAACTGATTCCAAATTTACCATAACTATACTACTTCACTGAAAACAGAAAATTGGCACTTACTCTCTTCCACAATATTTGAGCTAATTAACTGTCTTCTGATGAACAATAATCATGCACTGTAAGTATCATTAGAGTGACTGCAAACATCTTCTTAGCACAAAACTGACAAATAACAGAGACTGAAAAGTGTATAAGAACTGTTTTCTAAACTTAGCTCTGGAACAATGACTTTTAGGCAGTATTTTTAAAAATAATGCTGGATTTCAATTTCATATTCACACTGTTTAGAAGCAAAGCCATTTCTCTGCTCAAAGTTTATACTATTTTTCCTCTTCCAATTTGAATATATTTAAGTTCCTACAGGAACAAGTTTAAGTTTCGTAATCTCTAAATGCATTAAGACAAACATTAGATCTACCAGCCTCTAATACGTTTAAAGACCAGAGCTCATCATGGCAGTCATGCAGTTGGCTCCTGTAATTACTTTTGAATTCACTATTATATTCAACTAAAATAACTTTTTTGCTCTTTAGAGGTTTCAGAAAACAAATCGCAGTTTTGTAAAATGAACCACAAGTGCTCTGCTAAGTAAAATTTAAATAAAAATCATCTATTATTCAGCAACGGAGATTAAGATTTTAAAGATTTTTAATTTAAAAGCAAAAGCAAAACTGGATATTTCATGTTAAAATTACCCTTGAATATTAGATCCTTGAACATTCACTTGTGCTTTGATTATTCAAACAAAAGTGCCTATTCTGTTAATATGATCACAAATTCAACTACAATTTCCCATACACTCCTACTTTTTATAGATTCACCATTAATAATAAAGTCTAAAAAGTTATGATTAAGATTTTTACAAAAGATCTTATCCTTTAAACAATTTATCCATACTTATTGTTTTCTTTCTCCAATGCAGCGATCTGTTCACATGAAAAATAGTTAAGTTAAACATCCAAGAGTGTGATACAGCACATTGAGCTATAAAAAGTTTGTTTTACTAACTGACATATCAAACTAAAAATTAAATATTTCACAATCATCATGCATGTATCAATAGTTAACAAGTTCATACATTACAGAGAGCAAATAAACAATAAATTATATGTTGGTAAAATATTTAAGAAGTAAAATAACCTGCACAAAGTCACAGTGATGACAAGTTCAGTTCTGGGATTTGAATCCAAGCCTAATGTTCCCCGGGACATAAAGAGTATGCGACAAATATTGGTTGAATCAATTAATGAATGGCTCCAAAATTTACCCTCTAAACTTTTAAGGAAACTGCTGTGGCCATTGGGAGAAGAAAGTTTGTTTGTACATCATAAATGTATTTTAGTCTCTCAAGTGTTATTTCCGAGAAGGGTGCCAATTTCTTCAAATATATTTGGTAACTTCTCATAAAGGCAACATTGAGCTGGTCTTAAAAAAATAACCGGTTCTTGAGTATAAATATAAACCAAAATAAAACATAAATGAATTTGCTGATTGTTCTCTTCTGTTTGAGAGAATGACTCAGCCTTAGCCATAACAAAATCTCACCCAATATGCTCAAAAAATAAAATTTATGATTAAACTAAAGCTATGATTAAAACGTAAAAGTAGTAATTTTTATAAATTAACTACAGATATGTCACTGTTACATGTGTATTTTAGATATAAATGTTTCAGTTTACTCCTACAGGTCTCAGCTGAATCAACTGAGTCAGAAGCCTTATGACCTTTATGTCTAAAAACCTATTAACACAATTTCATCTCTTTAATGCTCACAGTAAGCTTGTAATTATGTAAGGGAAATTTCTTTACTTTGCAAGTGGAAAAACTGAAATCATAGACAAGGAGAACACTTTGCCAAGGGTGATTCATAAAGTCAGTCTCAAAGAGTAGGCTGATATTCACAATCTCAAACTCACCAACCCAGAGGAAATACAACCGTATTAGTGGTTTTTACTATTCAACCCCCAAATCCACAATAGCAGACCTACCTTCTTAGGGAAAAAAAAAAAAAAAAAGAGAGAGAGAGGCAAAGGAAACATGAACAATTATAACACTTAAAAGAAGGGTCTAAATTGCAGATAAGGTTCTGAGTTCCTGGCTAGTCTGGAACTTGGAAGCAGCAGGGCCTTAGGCATTTGGGCAAATGTGTAAAATACTGAGATCACACCAACTTCTCCCTCAGGTGAAAAAGCAATATCCATTATCATCATCATCGGGACCACTTCTGACAAACACAAGGAAGACTTCTGGACACATTTTCCACTTTAATTTCATGACCCAAATCTGTGCCATTTGAGAATACCTAATAATTGAATTATTCAATTTAGTAGAAAACCATCTGCCCCAAACCCAAGTCTTCAGTTCTTAGTGGCAATAAGAACAAAGAAGGTCAAGGTCAAGGGCTTGAAGCAGGCCTAGTCCAGTTGAGACAAACAGCAACAAAATGTGGATATCCGCAAAGCATGACCAGCACAAAAAGCATCAGGCCCCCAGCCCAGCTACTGCACTGCAATACTGACGGGGAAGGGTCAGACTGCCCTCCTAGGGCACTTCTTTCACAGCACTTCGGGCTTAGTTTATTTTTTTGCCAAGAAGACTGATCTTGGTCACCTAAAATTTCTCACTGCAAAAGAAATCCCTTGTTTAAACCCAAGTACAACCAACAGCTCCTTTCCAATTATCCCCTGCAACTTCCCCAGTCTCTTTCATGCCTGGCTACTGAGCTCAGTCTAGTTTGGCTGCGGGCCAGGTTCCTCTCTTCTTTCCTTGTCAGTCGTAAAAACTTGGAAAACACTCCTGGACGGCTCAAGGAGACCTTTTAATTATGCAATGGGGCAGTACCTTAGCCTGTCTGCTGTTTTCAGTGAGGCTTGTAGTCGCCAGCGACTTCAGTCTCCCAACTGGTGGGTTTTCTAGCAAGGCTACTTACTTGTCTGTGTTGGGGAAGGAGGAAAAGACTGGCAGAGAAAGAGGCGATTCGCAAATCTGAAAAATGTCCAGCTCCTCTCAGAGTTTCCTACCGCCTCATATTCACTCCTGTCTCATTACTGCCCTCCTTTAGCACCTTATCACCCATTTGGTAGCAAAGACACAAAACAATCTTTCTTGGGGATCTTCTAGTCCTAGAAATTATCAAGTGGAGTCGTAACTAGAACACACTCCAAAACCTTTTACTCTTAAATGTTGATGAAAAAAATTTTAAAGCAGGTCCCAAAATAAATTTATTAAATCCTTCTTGATTGCATTATACTTTGTAAAACTTGTGGACTGAAATAGTGCATGTAGATGTCTGATTGCAAGTGAATGTAAGGTGAGCTCAGTTGGCAAAATCTGCTAAGACTAGGAAGGGATACCCTGACCAACAGCCTGCACTAACTCGGGGTTTGCCCAAGGTACTAAGTGCACTCGCCAAGCCCAGCACCAGCTACGTCTTCCTTACTCTACCCTGGCAACTAGTTCCAGCTGCAGTGTCCAGCTTCCTGTTCAAGTCCCATTCAACATCGTAAACACATTCCAAGAAAACCAGCCTGCCCAGCGTTCCCTCCCGCACACAGGGAAGTCTGCGCGGCGGCCCCAGGAGCCACTGGGAAGAACCGATTGCGCTGGGTTCCGATCTGTGCAGTCAGCCCGCCCACGGGGAGGTGGACCCCGGCAAGCGAGCCTGGCAGCACGGTCTCTTCACCTCGCAGCGCGGTGCGCCCCTCTAAGGTAGCGCCCGCCAGAAGGAACTACTTGACCCATTCTGTCAAAGGGTAAAATGTGGGCGCCACCCCAGGGTTTGGGCCCTCCCCGCCCCAGGCTTTAAAGAATCCTCGGCCCGGCCTAGGAGCTTCGCGCCTCCCCGCCCCCCATGCCCACATTCTCCCGGAGCCAACAAAAGGGAGGTTAGGCTGGAAGAAGTTTCGCTCCTGGGTCGCCTGTCTGTGACCCGGCGATGAATTGCCGGCTCTGTCCCGTCTGGTCCGCGCACCCTCAGCCGTACTGATCCACCGCCCCCGCCCCACGCCGCTCCCTCCAGCTCCTGCCACCGGCCCCGGCCACCCGGACCAAAGTTACCACAAAGGGCTCCAGGAGTCGGGAGACCGCTGCGTCCTCGACCTCGTGAGGCTCCCTGTCATCCCTGAAGCACTGCCACGGCAGTCGTCAACAGGTCTCAGCCTCCTTTCTTGCTGGACGGCTCCCCGAGCCTTTGACTGTCCTAATTTTTGCAACCTGCCCAGCGGCGGCAGCGGCGGCGCGCAGCCCCGCGCCCTCCTTCCCCGTCACCCTGCCGGGGTGGACCACTGCCCGCCGCCTCTCAGGATGTCAGCTGAAAAGAGATCAAAAGCTACCTGGCGGGACGCTGGGCTTGCAGCCAGGGAAGCGCCCACATAAATCGCGGGCTCTCCGTACCTTACTGACTGATGCAGTCGGGTCAGGCTCCGGGCAGGGGCGTGGAGAGCCGCCGCGTCCTCGGAGCCCGGAGATCTCCGCTCCAGCTCAGCCGGGGCGCCGTTTCCGTGGCCGAGAGGGAAAGTTTCTCTACGTCAACACGGTGCTGGACTCGGGACCCTCCAGCTCCGGTCCCCTCCCTCTACGCGCTCTCTGCCCCCTCCCTCCTCTTCCTAATCGGCTGAAGCCAAAACTGGCGCTGGCGGGCGGCTGGGGCTGGAGGCTCGGGACTCCGGGTCGCTCCTGGCTGGGAACGCAGGGCTCCCCCTCTCGGCCAGAAGGAAACTCTCCCAGACTCGGCTGGCGCACTTCTGGCGGTCTCCTTGGACACTTCCAAACGGGACGCCTGTGTTCAAGCCCGCTGACTTTCTTCAATCCCTGATGCTCGTCTCCTCTGGGCCCCCGGGGCTGTGTAAGGTTCGCACAGGACCCACGGGGGAGAGTGGGATGTGAGAGAAGCCCGACTGCAGGAGAGGCCTTACCGTACCGGGTTCGCAGCCCGCACAGAAGCCAAAACACAGTTTCCCCCACCCCCATCCCTCGTCCCCCGCCGCGTTTCCTTTTGAACCTCCTCCCTGAAGCACTGGATCGGGACTATTCGCTTTCCCTTGTCTCTGTGTGTTTCCGAACACAATTTTAAAGCGCTTCTGCTGCTTAACAAGGAAAAAAGTGTCAACAGACGCACATACACGAATACGAGTAGAACGTGCCTTCTTTACAGCCTTTATCAAGAAAGCACTGACACAGTTGTGCTGCGGCACCTCTACAGTTTTTCCCCTCATTTTTGAAAACTCAGACCGAACTTCTGCATTTTGTTATGCCTTTAAAAAAAAAAAAAGAAAGAAAGAACGAAAACTGCCTCCACCACCAGATCATGCTCATTAGCTCCATTCAGATCTTAACCTCAGATTCAAGACCTCGCTATAGGGTTCAAGGAACAACACAACAAACCATTCTCACTGACCACAGTAAACTTCTGTGTGGGAAGAAGGACAGGGAGGAGGAGTATGCTCATTTAAGCTACTGTCTGAGGATGAGAGGACCTTAGTAAAGTGTTTTTTTTAGGACATTTCAGAATTTAGTTTACTCATTTTTTTATTTGAATGTGAAAATAGACGGACAAAGGGAAAAAAGCATTTTGCAAAGCTAACAAATATAATGTGTTACAGTGGAAGCCAGGGCTTAGAATCAGACAAGCCAGATTCCTTTCCAGACTCCATCCTTACTCATTCTGTGCCCCAGGACACTGGAGGCAATTATAACTGCCAAAACGAATTATATAACAGAACTTACAGTTACGGTCACATTTATAGGAGTTAGAATAGAGTAGTGTCAGGCACAGAGGAGACAATAAATATTTGGTTTTTATACCTCACTATATTTGGCTGTAACTAGGAGAAGATGGTACTACAAATTTCCCCCAAAGATCTTGTTAACTGAATCAATTTTCTTCTCCCTGACACTTTTTCCATTAAAAAAGATACATCACAATCTTTGAAATGAAAACTTAAGTTAGGGATTACCTAGCTCTAGCCAAATTCCCTTACTTTAAACACAAAGCAACTGAAGTCCAAGCATATTAACTGACTTTCTCCAAATCTCATTGTTAGGAGATGCTAAAGCTAGGAACAGAAATCAGGCCTCTTCAAACGTGGGCAGAGTCCTCTTTAACTATGTCTTCCACTCTATCACGACAGTTAAGCACACAATGTAAAATAATTACACTGAAGATATTAATCTGAGGACAATGCTAGTTGCTTCTTCTGTAAATAATCTTAAAACAATTTTCAAACAACCCTTAAAAAATAAATGGTGCTATTTAGGTGATCACTTAAATTCAACATGATTATAAAAATAAATCACAATAGCCCAGTACTTAGGAATAAGGAGGTTGACCAGATGACCAAATCCATGCTTCCATTATATAATTATAAATATATGGGTGTGTACTTCTAACACAATATTAAACAATATTTTTGAATGGAGAACTCCAGACTCCCAAGAATGCACCAACAAACCACTATGATCAGTGGACCCCAGTTTGAGAAACACTAGTTTAGTTTTCAATACACTACAGCTCCACTTGAATAAGCAGGCCATAAGAATAAAGCAGGCTGCAGAAATCAAACATTCTGTGCTCCATCAACTGAATTAATGGAAAAATCTCATAACATGTACTTATTTCTTATTCATTTGCCTGTATAATCTTTAAAGAGCAGTTCTTCTAAACGTTTTCTCACCTTACTCAATGTTGAAAGTTGCTTGGATTTTTATATAACTCCCAGGTTCTCAGAGATAAGATCCTATATCTTCCCTCTGAGTAGAGGTTCTCTACTACGCCAGCCTCTCCCTAAGTTAGTCGCTAAAATCATTTCTGAAAGGCATTTGTAGCTTTCTCTTTTAGAGTTCTATGCTCCCTTACCATGAGACTTGGAAGTTGCCAAAAAGAGAAAAAATTATAACCATAAAGTACATCCATCATGGATAGATGAATGGGGATGCATGAATCCCTATAACTGTCTTTTTCTATTCATTACATACAGGGCTAAAGATTACTCATTTTTATATTTCCTCCCAATGTTTAAAGTCTATAAACTTGTTATTGCTCTGTAATTTTTATAACATGACTTATGACATGAACTGCTTTATGAAATGGCTTAGAGGTATAAAAATCTAAAGGATGTCAGAAGCAAGTTTTTAAAAACACTAAAATCAAATAGGACAAGATTTAAAATCAGATCTATAGCATGCCCCAGGAATTGAAGAAAGGAAATGCAGAGGCTCTGGCAGGGCACTATCATTAGAATATGCCTAACTCTACCCATGGCAAATACTCAGATTTCCATCTGAAGAGTCTCCACATTCATCATAGGAACATATGGACTGTGGTGGAGACTCAGCGGCTTTCCAACATTTTTAAATTAATTTTCCTGCTCAAGCCAGTTTCAAGTTTCTCTTACTTAAACTGAAAGAACCTTGACTAAGACAGACAACTACCTGTTATTCATGTTGAGAATAACAATTTTATTGCTGATTATTACAAAAATATACAAAAACACGCTAACTTATTGGTTGTTTGTCTCTATATTGCTGCAAAGCCATCAGTTAAATTATTTGACAGTTGTTTTTAAAGGAAATAAAAACCAAGATGGGATTCAAAATCTCAGTTATGTAAATTGAAAAGGGGCACATGTCTTTTTGGTATATATAACAGTGGCCAACAATCCATTACATTCCTAAGGGATCCGGGTTCCGGAGTTAGTGTTACATTTACTTTCTACATTCCATCATTTTATCTTTCAGTCTATTTTGGTCCTCTTGATTAAGAACATGAAACATACTCATTGCAAAATAATAATAATAATAATAATAATAATAATAATAATAGGGGCAATACCCAAAAGAAATAAATATTACCTGTTTTCCCATCACCAACAGTACCATTGCTAACATTTGGTCTATACCCTCCAAGTATTTTTTAAGTCTCTGAGAGACTCTCCTCCAGTAAGTAACATTCCTTCTCTATGCCTAGGTTAGGGATAAATTGAGAAATAGAACAAAATTTTAAAATGAAAGCTAAAATATTATCTCAAGTATCGGCAGAGACCTGGTTTCAATCGGTAAATCTAAAAATGAATAATCAAAGTAACATTCTCAGTCACTGTGGTTCCCAGGCTCCCTACCTAGGAAGAGCCAGTGTCTTTGAAAAAGGGGTTAAATGTTTTTCCTGAGATCCATTCCTCAGAGAGAGAGAGGAAAAGAAGGGGGGGGGGGAGAAAGGAGGGAGAGAGAGAAGGGGGTAGCTGAACCTTGCAATTTCAAATAATTCTTGCCACATTTATTCCTAAATGTATTTATCAAATATGTCACAATATCTTTCAAGGGCAGATAAGTAAAGACCCAGAAAAAACATTTTAGCATGGAAATCAAGAGCAAAGGCATTATTCAGTACCTATAGCCACTTACATTTTTCTTTCCCTTCTTTCACATGGAAGTAAACTGTGCAAATTTACTGTTTCCTAACAATATACCAGTATACCATGGGCTTTTCCCTTACCAGTGTTTATTGACAGTTTCTTTAGCTATTATAAACAAAGACATTAAGGACATCTGTACACATACTTTTTGTACACTATTTGTATATATTTTGCCTATCCCTTGCCAATTATTTCACTAGAATAAATACTTAGAAGTATATTCTCAAGGTTAGAGTTTAGACTTTTTTATTATTATTATTACTACTATTTTG